AGTATCTGGAAAATAATTGTAAACAAGTGAAAACGCTAGCAGCATTAAGGTAAATTCAACAGTGTAATACATATCTAAATGGATATGTAAGAATATGCAGGAATGGTGGGAAAATTAAAGGAACCAGGGAAGGCAAAGAACAGAAGTCGCTGAATGTTTTTATTATAAAGAAAGATATTAATGGTGGAAATGTATATTTGAACGTGAATGTGATTTTGGAAATGGTAATAATGAAAATGAGAGAGTGAGAGAGTGAGTGAGTGAGAGAGAAAGATGTTAGGAAACACCTATTCCCTTCATAGAACTAGAATTTCTAGATTTCCCAGGGAAAAGTAACTAATTCTTAGACCACCCTGAGAACTACCACATTTTGAGGGGAAAAGAGGGCCTAATTTTAATGGGTGGCCACTTGGACAGGTGGCCTCTTGCCAGGTGCCCTCTTGGTGACTCATTTCATTCAGTCAGTTCCATAGTTACAGCTGCCACTGGTTTGGCAAGCGCAGGACTTGAGGATACCATTCAATGTCCAGATATGGCCTAGAAGTTGCCAATCCCTGAACCAAGTATAAGAGATTTCTGAACTGGTATTTCAAGCACCTCAGCATGTGAGTGATGACAACTCCCATATTCCCTGACAATCAGCCATGTTGGCTGAGGCTGAAGGGAGCTCTAGTCCAACAACAGCTGGCACCATGTTGGGTACACGCCTCAACCGTGTTGGTGGTAGAGTTGAACGTCTGATACGTGCAGGTCCATTGGCCTTGCGAGGGTGTATTTATGTGGCTTGAGAAGGATGGAAGGGAATTCAGAGGAGGCGGAATAATTGCTGCAAAGATTTATCAGAAGGTTCTTTGGGGAATTACATAAAACCGATGACAGTTTTAATTGGCAGCCACCCGTGCACTCCTTGCAGTCATTAGATACTTAGTGCTAGATAAGTACTTAGATAAAGCATTAGAATTGCACCTCAAATCCAAGTGAAGCCATAGACACTCTGGGTGGCTTTGAGAAAAGTTAATATCATATGTTTTGAGTTTCAGTTCTGTAACAGGGACTGGTTAAGAATGATGATGTAATAGAACTGAATCACAGCCTTGGAAAGAACATATGAAGATGCCTTATACTGAATCAGGCCATTGGTCTATTGATGCCTACTCAAACACTGGCTTTAGGCAGTCTGGGACAGAGAGGTCTTCCTCTTTTCTTAATTAAATTTATTTATTTGTTTTTTCAGTTTAAAATTTTACAACATACAACATAGAAACAAGATTCCAAAGAATCTCCTGGACTTCCACCCTCTCCTTTGTGGGTCCTCTTATTAATCATTTCCTCCTGCATCTTTTATAATAATCCAAATATTTTACCTCTCCATTGTGTCCAAAATTCACCATTAAACTACAAGTGTTATTCCAATCCTGCTAATGATTTTAACTGTTTACAATGGTTTTTAAGATAAATTATAAATTTCCCCCACTCCTTATTAAAATTTTGGTCTTCTTGATTTCTGATTATTCCAGACATTTTAGCCATTTCGGCATAATCCATCAACTTGATCTGCCAGTCTTCTCTGGTAGGGACTTTAGCTTTTTTCCATCTCTGGGAAAGAGGTCTTTGTCAGCATTGCTCCTCAGCACCTTTTAACTGCAGATGGCAGGGATCAAACTTGAAACCATCTGCAATGCATGTGGAAGATGTGCTGTACCACTGAACTCCGACTTTTCAGCTCAGCTGCCTGTTTTGAGGCAAGACGGCCTGCATCCAATGGTTTGCTATGAATACAGATGAATCTTAAGGTGCGGTATTGAGTGTGTATGGACCCATCTGTACTATATACTTAAAGTGGCATCATGCCAATTTAAACAGCCATGGCTTCCACCAAAGAATCCTGGGATCTATAGATTATTTATGTTGCAATTTGTTTTTTAAAAATTATTATTATTATTATTAAAGGCAGCATGCAGTGGCATAATACTGGTTTAAATAAAAAGTGTAGATGGGGCCTGAGAAAGAGTTTTTAGACACTATATTGAATGGTGGATTTGACCAAAGCAGCCTGCTATTCATAGAACTTGTTGAATCCTGGAAGTCTGATTCTGCGCTGCATCTACATTTGAGACGGTTGTTGTTTGCCTTCATCTAGAGGCATCCCAGATCTGGGAATGCTTTCCTTAAAAAAACACAAAACCCCACACAACATCAACCAAGCTTTGCTGAATATCCCTCTTCTTGGAAAAGGAGAAAGGAAAGTGTTTTCATTTCCATATTTCCTGAAGTTGTTGGTTAAGAGACCAAGAGTTTTAAAATCCATGATCTGACAGCTGGGTATTCTAAGAATGCGATGAGCTTTGTGCAGGCAAAACATCACATGTGAAAATTAATTATGGACACCTTTGATCTTCTTTCTCAATTGGCATAATGAAAGAGCTCTGGGTAGCCTGTGAAAGTTTGGCATCTGTCAGTGGAGCTTGCTTATGTGCAGAGAGAAGATTCTATGACTTCATAAAAGAAAATAAGGTTCTCATTAAAACATGATGGTAGAAAGTAGTCGTCTTTATCTCTCCCCTTCAAAAAATCCAGGCTTAAACAAACATGACACCACCACCTGTTCTGTCAATTCAAGTTATCCCGCCTCTGAGTATAGATAGCCTGTTTTCTAGCTATCCACTCTGATATTAGAAAAATCCTCCCTACCTTTTTAAGTGTCTTTTTTCAAAGACATCTTTGCCCCCAGTTATCCCAACAGGCCCTGTGGGCAATGAGTTCCATGGGTTTGTTTCTGTGCAGGATTCCTGCCTTTTCTTCACCCTGAACCTGTTGCCAACCCAGGACGACGCCAAGTCTGTAGCACGTTGAGAAATTGTTAATTTGAGCCTAGATACCCTCTCATAAATCTTTCTCACGCTTTCTTCCCAGGGCCAACCGAGAAGCGGTGTGAGAGCCCTTGTGGGGCTTGTTTGGCTGCCTAGGCAGAAGGAACATCTGGTGGTTTCCTAGCAACACAGACGGGTCTCCCAGGGAATGGAGCAAGCAACATCTTTTCTTGGTCCCCAAAAGTGGGACTCAGTAGCTCAGTGGGAGAGCATCTGCTTAGGATGCAGCTTGCGACCAGTTCACCTGGTTTGTCACACCTGGCTTAAGGCTTTCTTTGTACAGTAGGTCAGGCATGTGGAACCTGGTGCTCTTCAGAAGCTGTTGGACAGCCAACATGGACAGTGGTTGAGGATGATGGGAGCTGGAGTCCACCAACATCTGGAGGGCCACAAGCTCAACTTTGCTTGCTCTTTCTGCACATCTTCTCGACCACTCCTACATCTTTTGCGATGATTGAATAGAATGGTCCAAGTTTGTAAATAATGTTAGAGTATTAGACAGCCAAGGTCCGTATAGTAAAAGCTATGGTTTTCCCAGTAGTGATGTATGGAAGTGAGAGCTGGACCATAAAGAAGGCTGATCGCCAAAGAATTGATGCTTTTGAATTATGGTGCTGGAGGAGACTCTTGAGAGTCCCATGGACTGCAAGAAGATCAGACCTATCCATTCTGAAGGAAATCAGCCCTGAGTGCTCACTGGAAGGACAGATCATGAAGCTGAGGCTCCAATACTTTGGCCACCTCATGAGAAGAGAAGACTCCCTGGGAAAGACCCTGATGTTGGGAAAGATGGAGGACACAAGGAGAAGGGGATGACAGAGCACGAGATAGTTGGATAGTGTTCTTGAAGCTACCAGCAGGAGTTTGATCAAACTGCAGGAGGCAGTGGAAGACAGAAATGCCTGGCGTGCTCTGGTCCATGGGGTCACGAAGAGTCGGACACAACTAAACGACTAAACAACAACAATTAGACAGCCATGCCCATGTTCTAGCTGGTTGGGCTTTATGTTGGGTATAAAGCTGAAAGAATACGTCAGTTAGCTTAGAGCTGTCTACCTAGTATTACCAGTTCTACTCAGAAAGCATTAGGTAATCCACTCAAGGTCTTTTGGAATCTCTTGGGTTGTGGTCATGAACTGGTCTTGACTTGCCTAGAGAAAGATGTGGCTCATGGAAGCAGATTTTGTATACAGCCCTTTATGGGCAACCGAAACATAGGAATCCATTGAGCGCTGGCACTCCCTCTCAGACTACCAGGGAGCATTTGCATGACTTCACATCACAGAAGGAAGTAAAATGACATTTTCATGCACGCCTGCCTAGTGAAACCAGGCTATCTTCTGCCCATCTCCCCACAGATCATGCCCATCTTCCCACAACTCCTGTTGTAAATAGGCTTAGGCCACACCCACGGCATACATTTAAAGCACCCAACTTCCCCATAAGAATCCTGGGAACTGTAGTTTGCTAAGGGGATTGTAGCTCTGTGAGAGGCAAACTACAGTTCCCAGGATTCTTTGCGGGGAAACCCATGTACTTTAAATGTATGGTGCAGATGTGAGCTTAGTGCTGGAGCTGGGCGGTAGGCAGAGATAGAAGAGGAGAGATGGGTTCTGGGCTCTGTGGATCTGTGGATGTGAACTCCCTTTCAAGGTGGGGTAGGTTTTGCTCAGCCAGGGAGGGTGGGTGCAGGAGGCCTTGCTCTCCAGCTATGTCGTGATTTTATTTCTTAAGAGACTGGTTGTTCCCTCTGTACGTTCTGTTGCTCATGTAACCAATATGGTGCTACCTTGAGCACAGTAAGAAGGTATCAGCAGGACAGGGTGAATGCCAAGGTTTGCAGAAGTACCAACAGTCTTAAAGCTAAAACACCCCAACAAGGATTGAACCTGCCCAGCCGACTGGTCGTGGGAGGAATGGACCAAAAACAAGGGGAGGAAGGAGAGGGAATGGAATGGAGTGTCCGGAATCCGGAACAGCAGCATTCCACGCCACAACTTTTTGTGGCAGATCCCATCGGAGGCAACCTCATGCTGAGTCAGACTGTCAGCCCAAATAGCACAGTCCTATCTGTACTGATGGCTCTGGCTCTCCAGAGTTTTCGCAAGGGAGTCTTCCCCCAGCCCTGTCTGCAGATCCCGGGGATTGAACCTGCGAACTTTCACATTCAAAGCGGACTCTGTACCACTGAGCCACGGCCCTTCCGCTGAGTTGCCTGATCTACAACTTAATGCAATCTTGTGCTATGTGTACAGTTTTGGCAGGTCCAGTATCCTCCCCAGCAAGTCTCCCTGAGCATTCAGAACATTAGGCAGAAGGAACCCTGGTATGAAGTTAGATCAGCCTCTCTGCCAGGGGCAGGGCACCTCGCCCATGGAAAGCTCTCTCCCATAAAACATGCTGGGCCAGGTGCTTCACCTGGAAGGATGCCAAAAAGCCTTTATTTATTATTATTATTTTGATCGGCTTGGGCAGGGACAAGGTCAGTTCTCATGTTTATCTATGGTGTTCCCTGTGCTAGTTTAAACAGATTGGCTTTTCATTGGCTTACATTTTCAACTTATTGTTGTTTTTCCTTTGGGAACGTCCCATATTGTTATATTGCTGCAAGGTGAAAGACCATTGGCTTGGGGAGGCGGTGTGTATATTTATGCAGTGCATGAACAAAGGACCCTTATGGTTAATTACTTCATTGCTTGCCTTTCGTTTCCTTCCAGGCCCGGAGCCCACTAATTACGCGGCTGAGTGACATGTAATTAAGCAAGGACAAGCAAGGAAGGGTGATCTTTCTGAACTTTTTCAAAGGACAGAACTTTTTCAAAAGGTTGAAAGCACCATTTCCTGTTCATCAGGCTGAGGGCCGCAAGAGTTTTAATTTATCTGTCCTCACCCGCACTCAGGGCACGGGGGCTATAATTAAAGTCTTGCCTGGACTGGTTCTCAACTAATCCAGTCCATTGTAAGGCACTTGAATACATCCTTCCTTTGCATTGGGTAGCATTTGGCTTTTGGCATGCCCCTGTAAATACTCAAAAGTGCTGAAAGCAACTTGAAACCATGTTGTCGAGTCCCTTAAAAAAAAAAGCTTGTATGAGAAAAGCTGTTTTTAATGGGTGTTTCAATAGTGCTGAGTGAGATTTTACAGGAGGAAGTTCTCTCTTGAATTCTCCAATCTGCTAATTTCAGCAGATTTCTAGTAGGGCTGAAAATTCTTTTCACTTGTATCAAAGGCAATCCTACACAACATGGTGCCTTCTATATGCTGCTGATCGACTCCAGATCCCATCATCCCTGAGTGCCATTGGCCATTCTGGCTGGAGCTGATGGGAGTTGGAGTCCTGCAACGTCTGGAGGGCCAAACGTTTCCCACACACCCAGTGGCATACCATGGGAGGGGCCACAGGGGTGGTTGCCCCAGGTGCAAAATTGTTAGGCGGCGCAAACATTCAACATCCAGTGCTGCCTCAATAGAGCTGCATGCTTCCATTGCTGGGCTCCATGCAAACCAGGAAGTGACCTTTCCAGACAATGGAACGACTCTTCTTTTCTTACCTCTGTGGCTGTGATCTCCTGGGTGACACGAACACTGTTAGGCAGTTGAATGTGCATGTGTACTTCGTCGATTTCCCTCCCTCCCATCCATCACCTCTGTGTGGCCATGGGTGCTGGCAACCTACGCTAAGCCACTGACACACCTGATCTAGGACAATCTGCTAGTTTTCAGCAGCTACTTCATATATAGTCAGGGGGGTGAATAAACTCTCCAGAGCTGCATTCACTTTTTTTTTTAATTGGCTATTGAGTTTGTTTGAAAACATTACTTGTGACAAGGTGCTTTCTTAGACAATTCCTAACAGCTGCTGGAGGACATCTTTCATACCCGGAAAAGCTGAGACACAATTTGCACTGGAATGTTCCATGAGTAAATTCAAAGAACTCTGTGCAAGTCCCACAACCTGGGACCAAGAAATCTGCTGCAGAATTTACATAGAAGAGCATTGCAGGGATGGCATGCCTATGATCCTCCAGATGTTTCTGGACTCCATCTCTCATCAGCCCTAGCATTGCCCAATGGTCAGGGATGGTGGGAGTTGTAGTCCAACAATAGCTTGAGGGCTATGGGTTAACCCAGTGCTTTTTCCCCCTAAAAAAAATGTTTAAGGGTACTCTCATTTTCCTACTCATATTGAAGTACTGCCCCTCAATGAGGCCAAACTTAGATTCACAAAATGTTTAGGGGTATGTGTACCCCTGAGTCCCCCCAGAAAAAAGCACTGGGTTAACCAGTCCTGTGCTAGTGTTTTGTGGGGAAAAACTATTAGCTATTTTCCTCCTTGTGGTTCTTTGGATCCATCCCCTCATGGCTTTTAATGCAAATCCTATACTCCTGAATACCTTGCATTGTGGTATTTCACTAGACCAACCTGTTTAAATTACAGAATTGTGCAGCATTTAAGAGCCTTTGGGATTTGAAAGCCTGTTCTCCGATTGGTTAAACTTCAACTGCTATGAACAAGAATAACTCCATGACATTTTTAATTTATTTGTATTGCGCTCTTTAAAGAAGTAGGAGCCAAGAGAAGAGGACAAACTATTTGCATTCATATTAAATAAAATTAGAATTGGTTTGGGTGACAACATGTAAATGGCAAAAAGGGGGGGGGGAATAGATTCAAGGCTCCCAAAGTATATCAGTGAATGAAGAACAGGGTTCTTTTCCTTAGAGAGCTGGACTTCTGTGGGGTTTCTTTCCTGCGTGTAAGTGCTTCTTTTCTTCAAAGTGCTGACCTCAAGCTTGCCGTTTGATTTCACCAGTATGTGTGGCAACCACTTGTCCATCCACACTATCCTGAATGATTTTTGTTAGATGTTGGCTGGGAGATCCATATCCTGGAACAAATGTGGGGATACATAATTATGCAAGAAGTGAGGCATGCTCTATTATATAGATAAAGATGTTTGGGACTGAGGGACTACCCAACTGAACTATCAGAATTGTTATAGTACCGTTCTATAAATTTGACATTGGCGCACAGGCTCCTGAAGGCCTTGCTTACTAGAAAAATATGAGAACATGATGTAGAGTCATAGAATTGTAGAACTGGAGATATACCTAGGGTCATATAATTCAACCTCCTGCAATACAGGAATCACAGCTCAAGAATCCCTGACAGATGGCCATCCACCCTCAAATGAAGGACAGCTCAACACCTTCTGAGGGAGTCCATTCCATTCTCAAACAGCTCTTACCATCAGAAGCTGCCTTCTAATGTTTAGTCAGAATCTCCTTTCTTGCAGTTTGAATCCATTGATTCAGGTCCCTGTTTGTTCTATCTTCCATGCGGCAGCCCTTCTGATATTGAAAATAGGGGCAAGGAACCTCAAGCCCAGGGACAGAATGTGGCCCTCCGTGCCACTTTATCTGGCCCTCAGAAGTCTCCCCAGGCCATGCCTTTCAATGGCTCTGCTTTTCACCCCCCCCCCAGTGTTTTGGCCTGACTGGGAATGTGTCCTTGAACTGTGGCAATGCCTCAGTAGAGGCCAGAGAAAGGCCAATCAATGTGCATAGAAACTAGCCTACCGTATGAAGGCAACATTTGGTTTGCCCACTTTTGCCTCTGTCATGTGGCCCCTGGAAGGCTGTCCAGCAGGGAATGTGGCCCTTGTGATGGAAAAGTTTCCCTTAACTTGAGGTAAGCATGACATTTACTTCATAAACATTTTGGCAGTGACCAAGCCATGACATACGCAGAGCAGAAGGCTGAATTCTGAGGAAATTATTCTTCCTTCACACTGTTGCGATCCCACTCTCTAGTTATGTGAAAAACTTTGCTCCTCATGAAGGAAGTGTTTCTGTTTCTGCCTCTTTTGTGAAGTGTGGGCAAACTTTGTAAACCTCTTGAGGTGTGCGGGGTTCTGCTTATCTTATTAAATGTAAGAGATGCCCGGAGGGTGGGAATATATCTCTCTCCACTTCACTCTCCACAGCGAAACGTCTGTTCACAATGGACTTACATTTAATAATAATAATAATAATAATAATAATAATAATAATAATAATAGTTTTGTCTGCCCATCTGACTGGGTTGCCCCAGCCACTCTGGGCAGCTTCCAACAAAATATAAAAACACCAAACATTAAAAAAACATCCCTATACAGGGCTGCCTTCAGATGTCTTCTAAAAGTCATAGAGTTGTTTATCTGTTTGACATCTGATGGACAGGTGCTCCACAGGGCTGGTGCCATTTTGAATCTTACTTCAAGCAGGGAATGGTGCTTAACAAGAAGCCTTTTGTGAATGCAACTCCTGTGAGCTGGAGCATCCACACACCTAGCTCATATTCACAGCCAGATGTTGATCACCTCTGGATCCAGCAAGGATGTGGAACCCTTTTGACCCTCATAAGTTACCCTCATTCAGTGGCTGCATGCCAGATGTAGGTGGAGCAATGGATGTGACCCTTACCTTTGTACAGGACACAACTTCCCAACCATGTACACCCCTCATCCCCCACCCTTCATTTAGAGGATGAGGACGCTGCTCATGTTTTTGAGATAGAAATTCTCCACGGAAATCCAACCAGATGGAAACATAAACAAAACACATAAAGAATATTGGGACTTTTCCAACAATTATCAAGACTTTTACCTCTAGAGCTTGAAGTGGAGCCCGTCATTCTGCGAAATGACCAAAAAAAAGGCAGCATAAATTAATATGCACAATGCAAATTCTCATACAACCCTATTTCTATTTCTTAATTAGTGTTAGGGGGTGGGCACTGTACACAGCTAGGTGTCCCCTCTCTTCTTTCTGTGTCTGGGACGTTTAAGTTTTGTTAGTCCTCCACAATAGGGACGCGGGTGGCGCTGTGGGTAAAAGCCTCAGCGCCTAGGACTTGCTGATCGAAAGGTCGGCGGTTCAAATCCCCGCGGCGGGGTGCGCTCCCATCGCTCGGTCCCAGAGTCTGCCAACCTAGCAGTTCGAAAGCACCCCCGGGTGCAAGTAGATAAATAGGGACCGCTTACTAGCGGGAAGGTAAACGGCGTTCCGTGTGCTGCGCTGGCTTGCCAGATGCAGCTTGTCACGCTGGCCACGTGACCCGGAAGTGTCTGCGGACAGCGCTGGCTCCCGGCCTCTAGAGTGAGATGAGCGCACAACCCTAGAGTCTGTCAAGACTGGCCCGTACGGGCAGGGGGTGGGGATGCTGGTTGCCAGAAGCTGAGGCAGCTCAGAGACCAGGGATGGCTGTGGCGACTGCCCAGAGGACTCCCAAGGAGAGGGGAGAGGAGGCTGAGGGAACCCTCAAGGGAGGGTGTTCAAAAAAGGGTGAGAGGCTGCCAGCTCTGCAGACAAGGAGTGACATAACTGGGCTCCTGAACTCCACAGGGGTATCACAGAAAGAATGTAGCTGATCAAGGGAGCCATGGACTCAAAAAGGTTGAAAACCTCTGTGACTTTTGAGTAGGGAGTTGCATATATGCTACCTTCTATCATGCATAGAGAGAGTTGCACATCTGAAGGGGTAATGTCCAGTGCATTGGGATTACCTGCCATCTAAAAGCAGCCCTAAGTGCCACATAAATGTATTTTTTTTCAGGCATGTACCTGTATACATGATGGGGCCTCAGTTTTCCTGCTGTGCACTTTGTCTGCATAAAAACATACCAATTCTATGTAGATACCAGCCATAGATTTATTCTTTCCTTTGCCTGACTCAATATTAACTTTCCCTCACCCATCAATCTTTCCATCCAGAAGCTCGCGGTAAGTCGCAATCTCCTTCTCCAGGCGTGTTTTTATTCCAAGGAGGACCTTGTATTGGTTATTTTGAGACCTGAGGTCGTTGCGGATCTGGCTGAGCTCTTCTTCACATCTGGAGATGACGTGTTGGATGCTCTGAAGCTGGAAGGCGTAGCGAGACTTGGTTTCATCCAAGGTGTTTTCGATGGCGAATTTCTGGAAAAGAGAGAAGGGTGGGGGATCCAATGATATCATCTTCTGTAAAATATTTGTGGTGATTTAAAGAGAAACCCCAGAAATTACAGTTATTTATTTGAGGATTTGTAAATGACGGGCTCAGCCTAGCAGCAATTTCAGGATTCACATCTTTAACATGCCTATAGTCATATTAGATGGCTGTCAGGTTGAGCAATAACTACATTATCCATCATCTGTTGTCTTCTTTCTGCCTCCACTTCCCTACTGCCTAACTAAATTAAGAATGTAATTTCTTTAAGGCAGGAGCCTGTCCTTTACATACTTTCATGTACGTCAGTAGCGCCATGGCTTAATTACTCTCCCTTTGTACCAAATATTGTTCCTTGTGTGGGGAATATTTGTTTGTTTATTTATTGTTTATTGCATTTATAGCCCACCTTTCCCCATCCCAGGAACTCAACTGTGGCATACATGGTTTTCCTCCTTCTCATTTAATCTTCACAACAAGGTTGGCCCTCTAACTAGAACTTTGTTCTTGAGGGCTGCTGGAATGTAGAACCTAGGAAGCTGCCTTATACTGACCCTCCTACCTCAGTATTTCCTACACTGACAGGCAGCAGCTCTCCAGCATTCCAGGCAAGGGTCTCTTCTAGCCCGACATGGAGATGTCAGGAACCGAACCTGGGACCTTCTGCCGGCAAAGCAGTCACTCTGCCACTGAGCTATGGCCCGCTCAATGTGATGACCATTGGCTCTGAGACTGCACGTCCTCGTGAGCCATGTCTGCTACATCCTCCTCTATCTTTGGCTACGTTACCTTGTTCAGCTGCGTCTGCAGGTCAATTTCCAGGTTCTGCAGAGTGTGGTTCAGGTCGGAGATCTCCTTCCGGTTGTTCTGTAGTTCTTCCTGGCTGGGCGCATCTTCCATAGACTCACTGGCGACCTGTGGAACAAAAAAAGTAGCAACACATTTTGTTGTGCTGTTGGAGACTCTGCTACTCTTGCACAGAAAGGGCCTGTCTACAACAACATGCATGTTTATACATTGTCCAATGCTGACAAATTGTGGGAGGAAAGTATTAAGATCTATAAAGCCTACTTTTTTGGGGGGGGGGTTTGAATTAAAATTGTCAGACGATAATATTATCCTAAACCACATACCAACATTATGTGGTTTGACAGCGGGTCAGTGCAAATGGATTCTTTGCGTCCTTACTTCTGCTAAAAGTCTGATACGTTGGAAAAATAATACCATGGCTCCCTTTGAATGATAGATAAAAGAAGATATGACTACTCTTGCAACATACAAACTGATTGCTTTTATAGGTAGATCATGCATGGAAAAATATAATGATATTTGGAATGCATTTAGAAAAAAAGCATAATGACTTGTTAATAAGTTTTATACCTGTTAGGATAACCGCACTGTTTATATACCTATATATTGTATTGTACCACAGTTTCAAGTAGTTTTCTCTAATTTTGTTTTGTTTTGTGTTCATTTTATTCCACTGCATCTCTCTACTGAAAATGTTCAATAAAATATAAATATTTTTAAAAGTCTTTTGTTTGTGCTGTTGCCATGAACAGACTCGCCTGAGCCTGCTTGGAGCAGCACACCTTTCTTATAGGATCCTGTGAGCTCTCACTGAGAATCTTTCCTCTGACCTGCCTACGTCAGGGGTGGGGAACCTCAGCCCTGGGGGCCAAATGCAGCCCTGTTTCTGGCCCTCGGGACCCTCCCTCGAGGGGTCAGCTCTCACTGTCCCTGCTTTGCAGCCTACTTTGCAGGGCAAAGTGTTTTGCCCTGGCTGGCATGTGTCCTTCAACTCTAATAATGCTTCTTGCTTGCTGGGATGGAAGGGTTTGTGAGTGGGTGTAGAAACTCACCTGCTGCACAAAGGTAGAATGGAGATTTGTTGCCCCACCCACTTCCGCCTCTGGCCCTGCCCACCATTTGCATGTGCCCCCCAGAAGGGATCAGGTCCTACTCTAGGCTTTCACCATCCTTCCCCTGGAAGATTGCTTTGTGACCTCCCCCATCCCAGGAAACGTTCTGTTTCCCCCCCAGAATAACTCTTCTGGAGATGGCATCAATTAGGCGCAGAGGCTGGCATGTCCTCACTTGCCAGCATGTGCCCAGGTAGGGAGGAAATCAGCTTTGTGGCTAGTCCTTTGAGGTTTGGGTGCTAGCAAAGCCATCCATGCAGCAGTGAACAGCATTACCTCATATCGGGAGGTGGCGTTTCTTAACTATTCACACCTAAGCAGGCACTTTGCCTGCCTGGAAGTCAGCTTATTCATAATCGCAGGGACAATGGGTATGGAAGAACTCCCTGGGGCACTGTCGATTCCTGGAATAGGATTAAGCCAGCATGCCCTCGTAGCACCCTGAAGCCAGTTCCTAATTTGTGGGTGGCCAAGGTATCAAATTGTAGCCCTAGTATCCCCAAAGGTGTGCCACCCCATCAGGCCGTGCCATGACGCCCACCGGGCTCTTGCCCTTATGTAACTGTGGTGCGATGCCTCTATTGACTTGCATATGGAGAGGGAAGCTGTCCCACTCCAAGAATGGCTGGTGGTGAGAAGTTCACCCTTTCCAAGGGCTCTGTTGTTCAAACAGAGCTTCCCCAGCCATTTTTACAGGTGCAGGCACCCCTCCCATTCAAGTCAGTGCAGAAATTGTTCCACTGCTGAGTTACAGAATCATAAAACTATTGAGTTGGGAGAGACCCAAGGGTCTTCTAGCCCAGAATTTTGGGGAGTTGTGTGTGCTTTTCTCTCTGTGTGTGTGTCTGTTGTTTTCTTGTTCTCTCTATACATTTTCCCTTGGTGTGAAGACACACAAAAGATACATACGTGTACAGAAAAGGACATTGAATGCCCCCCCACCAAATGGCAACCATTTTGTGGTCATGCCTAGCTCACAACACTTAAAAATACACATATGGGCCCAGGGTAGTTCAACAGGGCTTTCTCCATCTCGCTCATGTCAAAGATTACCTGCTGCTGGAACCAGGCATCAAGGCTTTGGCGGTTCTTTTCAATAATGGCTTCATAATCCGCTCTTATCCCTGCCAGGATCCTGGCCAGATCTTCTTGTGGAGCAGAATTCACCTTCACATTCACCTTGAAGTCCTTGGAAGCGCCGTGTGCTTGCATGTCCTGCACATGAAGGGTTAAAGATGGAGGTTAACGTAAAGGACATCATCAGAAGCGAGAGGAGCCCATGGGATGGCCACATTCCAATCTGTCCTTCCTCTTCTCTTTGGGTGAGAGGTGAGAATTATTTTTAGGATGATGTCCTAAAGACATCTGGAAGTCTCTAAAGAATGTGATTGCCGAATAAAATAGGGCACACTCCTGCTAGATGAGACCAAAGCCTAATCAGATCCTATTTCTTACAGTGGCCAACCTGATGCCTCGAGGAAGCCCACCAGCCGTGCATGAAGGCAACAGCCCTTTCTTGTTGCTCTCCCTTTGGAGACAGCAACTGCTACAGGTGTGCCTCCAGTTCATTGAAATGAATACATGTCAGCCCTGAGCAGGCCTACCTGCAGCAAACTTGGAAAATTACAAGGTGATGAAATGAGATGCCGCCAGTTGCAAATCAGGTTCTTGGGGCAAAAATGTCAAACATACAAGGGAAGCCCCTTGGATTAGCAGAAGTTGTCAAAACAACTGGCAAGGAGGAAACACTATATGTGGTCTGCTGGAGCTGGAAAGAGCAAAACAAGGGGACATGAACAGAATCTAAGGCCAACAGAAATGGAATTGGCCCAAGCATGCCTTTCAAAGAGTCTGCCATTATCGCACCCAAACACAGAGAATCATAAAATTGTAGAGCTGGATGGGACCACTACCATCATCTTGTCCAACCCCTGCATTGCATGAATCTTCTGCCCAATGATAGGGCTGGAACCCACAACCCTGAGATGAGTCTCATGCTCACTGGGGCCTCCCTGGCTCTCTTAGAGGGTTTTAGAGGAAGAGAGAGGGATGGGTCTTTATGGATCTATCAGGCATTTATGGGTTTTTCCATGTGCATCCAACCCAACATTATAAGGGATGGCTTTGTAAACTCTAAAAGGTATTCCAGTGGTCCACTGAGCAGATCTGCTGCTCCAACCCCTCCCGCTCTCCATGAATTTGCACGATCTTCTACTTGTATCCACACCGAACATGTTGGGGTGCAGTTCAAGGGAAGGAGGAAATAGTAACAAAGGTGAGCTCTCAAAACTGGAGTGATGGGCCTGTATCCTTCCCGGTGGTCCCATTCCCAACAACGCACTGTCCCCTGTATGTGGCCTAAGAGAGGCCCAGCAGCTTCCAGGACGGATGATCATGTACAGTTAATTGAGACAAAGTTTAGAGGAGTTGCCATTGGTGGTTGGCAAATAAACAGCTGAGATGACAAAGGAGAAGCAGGTGAGGTGGAGTTCAGGTGGTTCAACACAGCTTACACCTGTATCTCTGGCTCCAATGCCCATCCATTAAAAAGTAATTAAGAAAACCCAGAATCTTAGCCCGGGGAGAGATCTCAGCAATTGTCTCTAGCCCAGGGAGACCAGTGCTGGTAGAACAGGATCCCTAAACCTCATTAGAAGCAGATGAGATTTCCCCATATTTGTCTTTTCAACAGGAGCTGACTTAGCTGTGCTCCAAGGGAAGAGAAAATTGGGTCAGGGCCTGAGTGTGAGAAAGCTCCCTTGTTATCTTGATTCTCCCCTCCTAGCTATCATTAAAAAAACACACACTCCACCTGTATCTCATTCCCACTTATTCCAGAGACGGGGAACCGGTGGTTCATCAGAGGTTCCTGAACTCCAATTCCCATCAGTCCCAGACAGCATGGCCAGTGCTCAGGAGACCTGGGAATTGTAGTTCTAAAACATCTGGAGAGCCACAGCTTCCCTAGGCTTGCTTTATTTCTTCCGCAGAAAATTTACACTGATGTAATTTAATTTGTTATAGGTGCATGCATGTGCTTGTTCCTGGAGAATCTGTACAATTGGTGATTTTAGGTGTTTGCTTGCTGGTTATTTGTTTCTTTTCAGAACTGACATCCCGCCCTTTAACAGAGGTCTCCTGGCAACTTCAGATCAAAATATCAAAACAATGGAAACACATGCCAACTTGTTGACTGTTTCTTCCTCTTAAAGCTAGCTCATCATAGACAATTGTTTCCCTGTTGGTCTTAATCATCAACCAGCAAAGAACTGCAGAAGTAAGGCACAGAGGCTGCACCACAGATCAAAATTCCTATACCTTGGCAGCCCACTTTTTTGCATAAGAACAAATTAAGCAATGTGGAGGACAGACTGCAGGACTTGGTTCCCAAGAGAGAGAATTTAAATATTTTTGGCTAAATATTGAAGGGAGGGGATGACATGGAGGTTTTGGGATCGGCCGATGTCCAGACTGGGCAAGTCCAGGAGATCCTATCTAAGTTTATGGTCAAGCACTAAGCCCCTTTGTGTGCATAAGGGAATCAATTATAACTAAGTCTTTCATTAAGTATAGTTTCCCATTTCACCCCAAACTGGAAACTGTGATTCACAACTTCAGAACCAGCCAAGATAATGAGACATCTTTAAACTCTGGCTTAATATCCAAAGCTACTGGTTGCTCCTATCTTGCCTTATTAATCCGATATATGACAATCGAATTTGTCTTGTAACTGGAGATGCCTGAGATAGTCCAAGGTTCTTGTATCAATCATGTGCTCTGCAACTGGGAAAGTGTTTGTGCAAGAAAATCTGGAGGGCTTCTTTAAAATAGGAGACAGAATATAGATAGCAAGTATATGATCTTCTGATAGGTGGACTTCTGTTTTTAAATGAAATCCAGGGCTGGGGCGTACTGTAGAAAAACTGAGTCCTGAAGAACAGTTAAATTGTCCTTTAAAAATATTGGATCTTTACTTAAACATACCGTACTTTTCCATGTATAAGATGAGGTTTTTTTCTGATAAAATAATATCAAAAATGGGGGGTCGTCTTATACAGGGTTGTGCAGAGGTGGGACGGGGGATTGGTTGCTGCCACGAGCAGGGCAATCTCTCCCCCCTTCCATTTTCTTAAATTTGAGTCCCCGAAAATAAGGGGCATCTTATAATCGGGGATGTGTTATACACGGAAAAATACGGTAACTTGATTGGGGGGGGGCAGGGGGATAGAATTCTTCAAAACCTGAAACTGTTCTTTTCATCTAATATCAGTAGTTTTACGCACACAAAAATGTGTCTGTACTTTGCCAAGTCTTGCTGCAAAAGCTATAAAGGTTCTGTGTAATTACCGCAGGAGCAGCTGAATGAAAACACATAATTACTCTGTAAACAACCTAATTATTAAACAAGCCAAACTGGTATGGTAAAGTTCCCTTCGTTGCAATATCGTCCTGTGGTTTACATAGTGACAGTGCCCTTGGGAAACTAAGGGGAGGATGCTAAAACCAGCCAGTGTTCAGAGCACATGAAAACTGTGATGCTTTGTGCTGATTGCTTGGTGGCAGGGGACAGCTGCAATACATTTTTGAAAAGGGGTTTCTGAGCATAAAATGACACCAGCCAATGGAACACTAATGCATGTTGGTTAATCATGTTCTGCATTTATATAACTGTGTCCCCTTTGATAGTTAACTCTACAGAACTACCACTAGAAACACTTTAAGGTTGCAATAGCTGTGTTTTACCTATGGTAGCAAAAATTAGATATTACTACCTACAAGGAATGATAAATCTATTTCAGTTTCTCATTCCCCACCCCCAATCTTTAGTTCAGTTTGTCCCGCTTTTGCAAACATTTTTATTTCAAAAATTTGCATGAAAATATGTATGCATTTCTGTATTCTGTTCTCTTAACACCTTTTCACAAGCAATATCCCAGCATTCAAGGGACATTGAAGCTGGCTGGCAGGGATGGAACCATCTGTCAATTTTGTGTCTCTTGTTTTCCTCATTTTTTGTCAACCTTAAATTCAGTTCTCCATGTTTCTGCAGTAATTTGAAATTTATTTATTTATTTAAAAAATACTAATGAAGATTCGTCAGTATTTTATTGCAAATTTCTCCAAATAAAAACTTTTTTTGTCTGCAGCTTTGACTAAGGTACTTTTTTTGGGGGGGGAAAGCAACTTCTCTTAATGCATTTTTCCATGTTCACTTTCATTATTCATTTTTGCAAATGCTCTTTTGGTTGGAGAACTACATTGCAAAATTCACGAAGGCTGCGTTTCAGTTCTTATACTCTTCCAGAAAGTGTGACTGTAACAAATTCAGCTTTAAATGTAAACTGAAGTGAATTTCTCTCTGATCTGTACTGGTTAAGGGAATCTTTCTGAAATATGCAACATCCTTTGTGCTGTCGTAATCTCAGCAATGGACCATGGGATAGCTGTGCCAAGCTATATATGTGTGTGTTCTACTGAAGAGGGTTAAGGTAGGTTAAGGTAGTTTGAGAGGGCTTCTGGACTTGGCCAGAGATGCTTTCGCCCAGTGTAGGCTGTTGTGCCCATGATATCAATTCCTGGCTGTTGTGCCCATGATATCCATTCCTGGAAAGGACAGATCTGGCTGTGGTAAAATGTACCTTGGACACGTAATGTCTGCACTACTGAAATGTGCTATATGTGGGGCTGCCTTTGAAAGAGTGTTCGGAAACTTCAGCTTCTTCAAAGTACAGCAGCTAGGCTATAAACTGGAACTGGATATTGGAAGTATGTTGCATTATTGCTGAAACAGCCTCACTGGTTCTCAGTTGGCTTCCAGGCCCAATTGAAAGTATTGGTTATCGCCTTTAAACCTATATACTGTTTTGGGACAGTTGACTGAGAGAACGTATTTCTAATGGCTGCAGTCAAAGATTGGATTCCCTGCCCAGAGAAGACCACCTCACTTCTTCCCTAATTATATTTCTGGAAGGAATTCGGTTGTTAACGATGTTAGTGAATTTGGGTGGGCAGGTATTTTTCTTGTTGTTCTAGCCGTTTTATGGTGGAATGGCCCTTTGCTATTTAGGTATATCTTGACTGTATTTTTACTGTATTTGGGGCGGGATATCAATATTTTAAAGAGAGAAATGCATGCCCGAAATTTAAAATGGAAATAAAGTGTGTGAGCTTTGTGCAAAACAAGCTCCACTCACACTGCCCAACAGATAGTGCTAATGTACTGTAGTCCACAATCTCCTATTTGTATTCAATATAATTATGATATGGCTTATCCAAAACTCAGCTTTCAAGTGGAGAATGAGTCAAAAAGGATTTGATTTGGGGATTAGTTTCTTTAAAAGCAATAAGACTGTAATGAAATCCATGAAAGTCATCTTATGGCCTTATTTTAGCAGATCTGGAAATTTCCCCTACCTCCTCATGTTCCTTCTTCTTGAGGATGTGATCTTCACGGAGAGCTTCGATCTCCATTTCCAGGTCTGTTATGATGATTGTCATGTTGTCGAGTTCCTTGCGAATGTTCTCGACGTCATCCTGCACACTTTGCCTCAGGGCCTTTTCTGCCTCATATCTTAGCCAAGGAGAGCAAAGGAAAACAGTTGAGGAGACTGGAGACACACGAGGACTGAGCCTACAGCTTTGAGGACTTCAGCTAGCCTACCTATTGGATGCCCTTTTCCGACTTCCATGCTCGTACAATAAAAATATTGATTTGGAAAGGCACAATGGACCTTTCAGTCTAGTCTTCCACTCTAGTACATTCACAAAGTTCAGTGAAGCTGGATGCACCCATTACATAGATAACAGAGCAGCTCTTGAGTTTTCGATTGGTATTCGACAAAGATGGGCTCAAAGACTTGGTTCCTAAAACCAATTTTCGCTACGGGCCAAGTTACACATGATGTTATTCAAGCCATGTGCCCTGAGGGCAGGGTTTGTAATGCAGAAACAGCTTGAGCAGGAGCTCCAATTTGGCCTGGAACACTGGAACACATGAAAGTTGGACTAAATGACTATTTGGGCCCCTTCCAACTCTTCAGTTCTGTGATTCAGCCCTTTGCTGTCCATTACAGTCATAATCTAGACACACACACCTCATCAGGTCCGCAATTCGCACGGGAGGTGGGGAGGAAGCTTCCACTGGAGCAAATGGGATTTCCCCCCACCGTACAAACTGCAGACTGTGGCGGAGGGCATCTAGACCAGAACTGCAACAAAAGGTGAAGCCTACAGCTTCCCATGTCCCATTCCAAACTGAGTGCGCACACTTCCTGGCACTGGCTATTTCTGCAAGCGAAAAAAATTGCCATTGCCCTTCGGTTTCTCAAATTTGTTTTTCCCCACAGTCCCACTCAGATACTAGAAATGATTGCTTCTGGAAGGGTGGGGAAAACAGCTTAAAGGAGCAGAGGGAGGGGAAGTTGAAATAGGCACCTTCCACTTCCCTTCCATGCACACTCACTAACCTTATCTTTTTAGGTAAATCAGCAAATACATATTGAGTAAATACATGTCAGGTTTGATGATGAACATAAGAACATAAGATGAGCCTGGTGGATAAGGCCAAGGGTCCATTTAGTCATAGGATCCCCTGAGGGATAGCTCAGTTGGTAGAGCACGAGACTCTTAATCTCAGGGTTGCTGGTTCCAGCCCCACGTTGGGCAAAATACTGCTGCACTGCAGGGAGTTGGACTAGATGATTCTCACGGTCCTTTCCAACTCTACCATTCTATGATTCCATGATAAGATGAGCCTGCTGGATCAGGCCTGTTTTCACAGTGGCCAACCAGATGCCCATAGGAAGCACACAAGAAGGACCTGAGAGGAGGAGCAGCAGCAGCAGCAGCAGCATCTCCCCACCTGTGATTCCTAGCGACTGTCTCCGATAGTGGAGTCTGAAGATAGCCACTGGGGCTAGTAGCCATTAATAGCACCAGTCTCGTTTCAGGAGGCAGGCGAAATGGAAAGGAAACAAGCTGCGGTGCCTACATAATTCCTGAGGTTTCCTCTACTATCCAGAAAAGGCAACACACCTGCCTTGAGCTTTCAGCCTCAGCCAGGTATTATGTGGTGGCAGCCACAAATGAGTAAGAAGCAGTGGGGGAAGATAAGACCCCTTTCAACCCTACGCTCCATTCGAGATTGGCCTGCTAGCCAGCCTAGTTGTTGGCCAAGGACCTAGTAAGTAGGGCACCATAAATGGCATGACTCCAATGGTGATGATTTCAACCAGGCTTAATCTGTGGTGCATCTAACATTGCTGTTATTATTTATTACATTTATTAAATTACTTGGGGAATAGGTTGGCTTTATTGCATCCAGACGACCAGGTTGTGAAGAATTAAGGCCAAATTCTATGTCCTTTGCCAATCTCTGTTTCCACGAATAGGCAAGGAGTTCAAGGAATAACTTACTTGAGCCTGAAGTCCTCAGTGGCCATTTTAGCATTGTCAATCTGTAGCACGATGCTTGCATTGGTAACCCGTTTAGTCTCAATCTGTAAATGAGAAAGAAAGAACTCATCTCATTGCAAATGTGGAATGAAAAGCTCAATATCTGGGGGGGGGGGGTTGGCAGTTGTTGTGATTGGTTGGTAGGGATGAACAGTTGGATGGATCTCTCAATTTGGGTTTCTCTCTGTGTCTGATTTTTCCAACCTAAAGTGCAGTTCATGACATTTATGCATCAGTTTCCTTTTTAAAAAAATGTCCTCACAAAAACTGGTCAGTATTTCAGTATATTTATTTAATATCTAATGTGCAATTATTTTTTTTGCAAGCAATGTTCTCTGACGTAATGCCTTTTCATGAGCTGCACCTATCACTTGCAAACATCTGAAATGTTCTAACTTTGTTAAGCTTCATATTTTTAATGCAACTTTCACAAAATTCACATTCACATTGTTCTTCTGAAATTTTTTATCAAATGTCAAAAAGGGAAACGTTTACACCTGCCAGTATCTCTTGATCATTTTGGTTTTGGCCATCTTCAGTTCTGAATTCCCAGCTACCAAATACGAATGGTTGTTACTTACCTACCAGATGCTATTGGACACTATATCTAATGCATGTGAGTTACCCAACGCAACCTGATGTTAACGACGATTGTTTGCCGACCATTAAATGCCATCAAATTGTCAGGTACAAGCTATTTTCAAAGAGTTTCTGGAGGATCCCAGAAGTCTTTGTTAGCTTATCAGATGCTCAACAACAACAGCAGCAGCTGAAAGGCAGTTTGCAAACCACAACTGATCTTCTTCTGTGATGCTCAACCACTGATGAATGCTTTAGGTATGTTAAAGGACACACACCACCTGTTCACAGGAGATGAGGAGGAGGGCCAACAGTGCCTTCTGTGAACTGAGTGTGTGCCCTGCAACAGGGTTCAGAGTCTTCTGCACAGCTGAGGGATTCTATGATAGTGTCAGGCGTCAGAGGATCCAACCCCCATGGTAGGTTGCCAGGAATGGATAAGACAAGGAAAGTTCTTACCTACAGCTTTTCATTCAATATTCACAGAGAGAGAGGCTTAGAAAGGAAGCCTCTTGGAATAATGGCATTGCCCTGAGTAAATCTCCCCTCCCCTTCTCTCCCACTTCTTCATTCATCATCCCTTCTACTGGTGGCGCTGAGGGTCCTTTGCTTCCGAGCCCTTTGCTCTCCTACTTTTAAGGCTCACCAGGTTCTGGGAGGTGGTGGGTCTGGAATTTTTTCTAGTGATAATGTGTCAGCCAGCTGCTCCAGCTCTGCCACCTCCTCCTCTCCCATAATTTCCCAACTTTTCCCCTCGTCTTCCTCTGAACTGCGATCTCCCTCAAACCCCTGTTGTAATTCTGAACTGCCTCCTTCTCTGGAAGGGTCAGACTGGGGAGGCGGTCTCCACCATTCCTCCTCTGTCCAGTCCCTGACAGATAGACTCTTGATACCTGGGTGTCATGACCTGTAACCCAGGTGGCTGTTGTGGACCAGGAAGCATGTCAGAACCCACAGCACACAAACCTATGCTCACCCCGTCTGCCGCAGAACATGCTTCTGGTGCACAATTGACTTCAGCCTGATAAGTGCTGAGTCTGCATAAACACGTTCTCAGGCAGTCCCAGCCACAACGTATCTGTGCCATTGTGCTGTACTGGAAATGTATTGGAAATATAGGCATCTCTCTCTTTTTAATGCAATTGTTTTGCACACTTAATGCAATTGCATTTGTTCATTTAATCCCAGATTGAAGACTTCAGAAATAACTTTCCGTTTTCTCACCTCCAAAGGGAAAAGGATGTGAAGTAGTTTAAAAACTATTTTTCTTTTCTCTCTGCAGCCCCCTCCCTCACCCATGAATAGAAGATGCGTTTCTGTCTTTTTGCTAGCAAGCAGGGCCTCTCATTTTCTTATCAGCTCAGCAAGACATGCCAAGAGCTCACTGACCTTTGCAGACTAGGAACTTCAAAGCCACAGAACAGTAACTCACACTAATGAGGAGAACTTCATGTAAGCAGATAGCAGAAAAGCAACATTTTGTATGAGACAAATGAATAGCAAATTTCTAAACTTTGCTCACTGTTGCCATGGTATCACTAGTGGATAGGAGTGTGCTTTTTGTAAACCAATTAGAAGTGAGTGTGAGGGGTCCATAAGCGGTCCACACGTTCTGGTATCCAATCATATTGCTGAAAGGGACCGTTCATGACCTAATCATGTAAAGAGAATGTTATAAAAGTGTCTTGAATTTTGTGTCCCGAGCCCAGAATTTGGAGAATTCCTCTGGATCATTTTAGTCTTACTGCAGTCTGCAAGAAAATCTGAACTCTTTCCACATTGCTGCTGCTATTTGGCTAAAAATGACCCGCATATTTCTGGTACCTCCCCCCTTTGTAAGGTTCTTATGGATGAAGGTTCAATGACCTGACTTGGCCCCCCCCTCCATTGAGAGCGAGGAGCTCTAGCAAGTGACAACATAAGCCTGAGGCTCCTTTGAAGCCTAGAGTTGAAGAGCAGAGGAAATGAACGCCCATTCCAGTGGAAGCCTTGAGTCCATTAGGCTCTGTGCTTGCAGGACACATAAAACCCCTCCACCACTGCGTTGGCACTGAGAATATTCAGTGCTTTTCTTCTCCTGTCCAACTCTTCAGGCACAGAGACAGAGCAAGCCGTTGTGCTTCTGGATCTCCCAACTCAGACCCGGAAGGGGGAGGCCCCATCACTTTGCCTTGGAACCAAGCTGGTACTCAGCTACACTCATAAGCCATCAGCCTCTGTCTCCTCTTCATTTTTGAACTGTGAGTGCCAGCAATTGTTTTCGGCCCCTGCACTTCATAGCTTCAAGCTCAGAGCTGGAGTGAGGAGCAAGATATTTCCCCATTACATCATGCTCTGTGTTTCAGAGTTGTAGCATGAAGTCAGAGAAAAGACCTCCATCCCTTCAGCCAGCAAGGCAAGCCAGGAATTGTTGACTGTGGTAACAGATATGACACAACAGGCATCAGTGCTCAAAGTGTGTCAGGAAGTTTGGAAACCACTGAATATTCCTGTACATAAGGAATATCCTTACTCCCAGTTCACGTATTGTTTTGGGAAGTGCAAATTACATCAGTTTACATCAGTTCACAGACCAAATTTCTTCTGTGTCCCTAGCTGCTGTGTCATTCTCTGCAAAACACACATTTTTGGGGGGATGTAGTTTTACCGTTGGAACTTGAGATACCCTTAATCTGTCTCTAAAGCATCACTAAGACAGCCTCTCTAGCCTTTTCTTGAAAGACCTGAGTCGTATCACAGAGCCAGGGGGATCCACGCCATGAATGTGTTTGTTAAGCGATGACAGGGAACATTCCTGGGCAAATAGACTACTCCTCTAGGGTTGCCAGAAGAAGCAATGCAGAAGGCTGCAAAGTTAGTTCACAAATGCAATTAACACTTTTTCACTCCAAGTTCTGACGCTTGTTGTTGTTGAACTGTAGAACAGGAAAAAGGCGGTTGCGGAAATCTTGGAATCAGTGACCTATATTTTCAGCATTCCTTGTTCTTCCTCTCCTTCCCCAAGTGCATGCAAGAAAGGATGCCGTAAGCACAGAGCCTACACAGCAAACACCTCCAGATGATTTCAGCAAGACGGCAAAGCCATATATTACAGGAGAACATACACATACATACAGGGATTTTAGCCAGTCAGTTCATACCTTGAGTGTAAACAAAACTCATGCAGAGCCACATAAAAAGAAAACTTAGATGGTGGTGTGATAAGGTGCTGTTGAGACTACATCTTGCAAAACATCCTGGCTTTAGCTGAACTTATTCATGGTGCTTCAGAGAGACCAGAGGGCATCCCTAAGAGCATATTGGGAGGGAAAGTCCTTAGCAGCAGGGCAAAATGTATTGACAACATGGAAACCATCATTCCTAGAACTGTGTCCTGAACCAGTGAGGTTCCTTGCTCCCCCATGTATCTATGTTTTCAAAATGAACTGTTTCCCCTCTGCTTGCCCATTAATCCTGACACAGGAAGGATATGGAGCAAAGTCTGGGAGGGTGGCAGGCTAATCCCAACCTTCTAGTTGGCTCACAGTTCTTTTGACTATGGAAGCAGACCCCAACACACTAGAAAAATCCACACTTGCTGTATATGTGTGGGCGCCAAGATCTAATATGAACCAATTTTCTTGGGCCAAGAAAATTCTTTCTCCACTGGGTAGCAATCCCAGTTCAAGCCAATAGAAGCTAGGGGAGAGTTTACTGGCAGAGCAAGGCAGCTTGGACCTGAAGTGAGGAAAAACGAGGAAGGGAGATTGCATTAGGAAGGTCCTCATTTGTTGGCTGTAGTCTTTGTTCTGCCCCCAGCATGCTTCAGTAACCCTCTAAACCAAGTCTGAGGAAAGCCATTGGGGGGCTGAGAAGATCGGTGGCTGAAGAGTGGTTGGCCAAGTTCAGGTTGGCCAAGTTCAGGCTTCTTGCTTTAGATGGGGGAGTCAACATCGTAGCCCTCCAGATAATGCTGGGCCACAACTCCCATCAGCCTCAGCCAGCATGACCAATAACAGTCAAGGATGATGGGAGTTGTAGTTCAACAACCTCTGAAGGACACCACATTGGCTGCCTCTAGCTATAAATCATGCCAGCTCTAATCCCACATGAGCCAGCACAGAGGCTGTCACCATGCAGAAAGCGTTAGTTAGCATACAGCAGTACAGTTAGGCAGTTTTATTTTTAATTGTTATTTTTGTTTTATGAATCACTTCCCATGAACCACCTGGGCTGTGATCCTATGAGGGTCTGTCTTTCAGGTGCTCGTGTGTTTTACTTCAAAATGTGGTAAGATAGGCCTTCCTGCTCATTCTGCTGAGAGGGGCCCTGCTGGATGCCATTTTGCAGAGCTCTCTGTGGCAGCCTCTCCCAAAGATTATGGGAGGTACAAATTACCCTCATTCAGAACCGGAACGCTCTTCAAGAGCTAAAGCACACCGTTGTGAAAAGCCTGCCTTCTTGCCTTATATAGCAACATGGAGTTAAAAGTCATTAATAGGATTAGTCACAGGGATTATTGCCTAGTTAAATGGGCATTATTATGAGTCCCAATTAACACCCCACTTAGGCACGAAGACATGTGAGCACAAAGGCAGCTTCAGTTGACGCTTAATGTAGAAATCTTGGTGAGAACCAGAAATTCTCTTTAATTATCGGGAAATTACATATTTGCTGAGAGGGTGGGCTGTTTGTAAGATTAGAGTGGAAGTGTGTATTTTCCTGCACAGCCAACTTCATGTGTACTCAGAGACACTATAGCAGCTCCGTCCTCTTAAGATTGACCCAAAACAATTTGCTGCCTTAGGTAAGAGGCAAAATGGTGGGCTCACCTATTCCATGTATGGAACTGGACCAGACTGGCTGTTGAATCTTACTTCTGCGCAGGTGATGGGCCAGAATCTTTCACTAAAATTAAGGCTGGGAAAGGGGATGCAGGGCAGTCCCTATGGCACACAGAACTGTGTCTTCCAATACCCCATCCCCACTACCCAGTCTCCATATCTGCCACCTGAGGCAGCTGCCTTACTTTGATAACTGGTAGGGCCGGCCCAGCATCCTCCTACATTACAGGAAGTCAGGGCAGGCAGGCCCACTGAAGGAACCTTCCAAAATGAGGTTTATGTGGACGGGTATATCTCTTGCTACCCAGCTTGCTATGAGCTGCAAAGTACTTCTACCACTGTGTCTCCGTAAATGCGCTGAAAACAATGCGGTGGGTGACATACAGCACCCAAAATCCCTGCCTGCCAAGTTTACAGTATATAGGTCAAACCAAAAGGTCCAATTCTGGTTTTATTTATTTTAAAAAACATTTCAACTACAATAGTTGCTGAGTGGTGTACAAAGGTACAATGTAAAATGATCAGTTAAAACTATAAAATCAAACCTCTATTATAATGCCTACTGGAATAACAACAACAACAACTTCAACAGCCACCAGAAGTTCAGTAGGGAAGGGGCCTGCCTGACTTACACCGGAAGGGAGCTCCACAAAATTGGGCCCCCAATACAGAATGCATAGCTCTTTATGGATATGAGCCATGCATCTAAGACATGGGGGGCCACCAACAGTGACTCCCCCGAAAGCCTCCAGGATTGGGCAGGGATGTAAGGGATTAGGCAGTCCTTGAAGTATCCTGGACCAAAATAGTTAAGGAACTTGTAGCTTAATGCAAGTACCTTGAACGCAGCCTGGTAGCATATGGGAAACCACTGCAAACTTCTGAGCACCAGAGTTGCATGATGGACTGTCCCCATCAGCAGTCTGGCTGCAGCATTTTGCATGAGCTGGAGGAACCCTACCAGGCTCAAGGGTAACTCCACGGTGAGCACACTGCAGTAATTGGGACTTGAGCTTATTGCGGCTGATGATATGTTGCCCAGCTGGTAGTATGAAATGGCATAGTCGGGATAGGGCTATATCTTTAACCCTGGAAAGCTCAGGCATACTATGGGAGACAACATATGCCTTGCAACTTTTCTGAGCTCTTGGCAGCAATTCACCCAGTTCACGCCCCCAGCTGTTTACTACTGACTTTTCCCCCCATACAAATCTTCAAAAGTCCAAGCAGTGAAATGAGAAGCGGCTCTGAAACAAATATAGGTGGCGAGAGGAGACACAGACAAAAAAGTTCTGCAGAGTTACTATATCCCAGGTGCATTCCCTTTGTGTAATGACCTTCAGGCTGCAGATGGGAGCTCCACTGAGAGAATGTCACCCCCAGGCCACATCCACACCATATATTTAAAACACTCTGATACCACTTTAAATAGTCATGGCTTCCCCCCAAAGAATTCTGGGAGCTGTAGTTCATTAACGGTGCTGAGGGTTGCTACGAAGCCCCTATTCCCCTCACTGAGCTACAACAGCCGGAATGGTTTTAAAAATCTACCCCAGGGAACTCTGGGAATTGTTACTCTGTGAGGTGAATAGGGGGTCTCCGCACAACTCTGAGCACCCTTAACAAACAACAGCTCCCAGAATTCTTTGGGGGAAGCCAAGACTGTTTAAAGTGGTGCTTTAAATATACGAGGTCGCCCAAGATCCCTATGCATAGAAAGCTTGCATGTCAAGGAGAGTTGTGTGGAAGTTCTCACTCGCACACCACCTCATTTGTTATGTTTCTTTTTATAAATGAAATTCAGTTATGAGACCCCCTGCCTCCGGTTTGAAGTGTTATAGTCCAGACTCAGGGCTATCTCCAGCTACTGTTTCTGAGAGTTAGGCCAAGGTTACTGCAAGGGGATGAATGAGTAGAGAACTGTAAAGCAGCAGACATCTTTACGAACGGGAATAATGAGCGAATTAATTTTCTTCAGCAGTGCTCTTTACTTTGGCTTTTGACACTTGAGGGGTATATTTCTAGGGCCCACCTCATTTATGCGATTCTAAGTTGTTTTAAACTGGTTTTTAATACAGCGGTACCTCTGGTTACATACGCTTCAGGTTACAGACTCCGCTAACCCAGAAATAGTGCTTCAGGATGAAAACAGAAATTGTGCTCTGGCGGCGCAGCAGCAGCAGGAGGCCCGATTAGCTAAAGTGGTGCTTCAGGTTAAGAACAGTTTCAGGTTAAGTACGGACCTCCGGAACGAATTAAATACTTAACCTGAGGTACCACTGTATTGTGTTTTAATGTTGTAACCTGCCCTGGGACCTTAGGGTGAAGAATGGTTAACTAATCAATGACAGCAACAACAACAACAACAACAACAACAACAACAACAACAACAACGCTTGCTAACAGTGGGGAATAGGCTGTAGCTCTGCAGCAAAGCATCTGCTTTGCCTGCAAAAGATCCCAGGTTTGATCCCTGGCATCTTCAGGTACAGCTGGAAAAGATTCCTTGTCTGAAAGACTGGAGGGTTGCTGTCAGTCAGTGTAGACAATACTAAGCTATAGGGACCAATGGTCCAAGTCGGTATAACACAGATTGCTATGTAAAGAAATGCTGCCCCGTCTCAGCTGCTCGCTGCTCAAGATATCCCTCTAAGTCATACTCAGAGCAGGCACATTCATCCGAATGGGTCTACTTGCGATGTCAGTGGGATATCATCTGATGCCCTGCACTCACTGGGTGACTCGTCCCCTGGATTCCCATCCATGTCTTATTGGAGCATGTCATCCTTTTCACTTGTTCAAGGGCTAACCCACGATTTAGAAGGGTGTCTAGGCTTCACTCCTAAAACTAGCATCCCGGCATATTCTGATAGAGACATTGTGCTCTTGCAGGAGATGTAGGTTAACTAAAAATTATGCTTTATAATATATACATGAGATGCATGTATATAGAAATAGCTGGCATCATTTCAGTCGCGGTGTATCTGAGAAGCAAGAGCGAAGTGCAGCAATCTGTCTAGAATTCAAATCGTGTTCTGTGCACATTGGAAACACAGTGAGTAGTCTGAGTCTGAAATGTTAACCCCAACCTTAACCTCCCCACCCCACCCCAAATCAAATTTACCTTCTTTAATATAATAAAAACTTATAGGGTAACACAATTCTTAATTTAAAATCCAAAGATTAAGATGCCAAATTCAACGTAATGTGCTGCCAAGCCCATAAATTCCACATCATCCACAACTGCAACACGATAAAAAAATATAGAAATATGAACATTTCCCCCCTGAGCAAAACGGTAGTTAGGAGAATTTGCTTGAGAATGTGTGTGCTTTAAAATATATATATTTCAGGGTTGCCTCCCCTCCCTCTTCACCCTTTCCTACCCTTGGAGTCCACACCTTTCCTTGAGGACAGCTCTTAAGCAAACACCCAGCAGAAGCAACCATTTCAGATATTTATATTGCTGAGCTGAACGAGTGCTTGAATCCCCCCATGGAGGAATGTAAGCCAGCCTGCGCCTCCTCAGACTTACCTTCTCGTGCATGTCTGAGATGTTTTGTTCGTAATCCTTGAAGTCATGCTTGGTGCCCTGAGACTTCTTCTTGTGCCAGTCCCGGATGCAGCCCTCCAGCTGAGTGTTGGCCTCTTCCAAAGAACGCACCTTCTCCAGGTAGGAGGCCAAGCGGTCGTTCAGGTCCTGCATCATCTGCTTCTCATTCCTTCCCATGAAGATGTCCCCGTGGCTCCCGCCGAAGCCCCCCCAGCCTGCCCCAGCATCAGAGGCCAGCCAGGTGGGTGCTCCAAAGGACATGGGGACAGGTAGACAGCCACTTCCTCCGTGCAGAGTGCCAGCTCTGTAGGGGTCGCCGATGTGTGAGAAGCTGCATCCTGAACCACCCCTGAGAGATCCAGAAGAGAAGTGGTAGAATCCTTGGCCGGAGTTCATTCTGACATCTACTAGGAACCGAAATCAACACGCAAACACTCCCTCTCTTTCCTGGCAGCGTCTGAGAAGTGCTTCAGCCCTCGCTAAGTGCTTTTAAGCCTTTCCTTGTGGGAGTTCCCTCATGTTAAACAACTATGCCAACAAGGATTGTGTCATCATCACAAAACATGCGTTTCCTCTTGGTCAATTCCAAAACCCTGATTAACCGGCAAATATGATTGTCATTCTCTGGAACGCCGGTGACATACCAAAGTTGCTTCTCTTTTCTTCCCCCGTCCCTTCCCTCCTCCTCCTCTCTTCCCTTTTATTTTGCTTTTTGCATGATATCAGTGAGGTGTGGCCACCCAAGGGAGGGGTGGAGCTGAACTGAGAGAGCCCCAGCCTCTGCTTCAGGTTTCTTTCAATCACATGGCTCGGTTTGTTTTGTTCAGCTGTTTGCAGCAGCAAGAAAAACTGCCTGAATTACACATGCAAAAACACCGAAGGCCAGGAAAGGGGTTAGGCTCTCTGCGTGCCATTTTTATCATGATTTTGGGGACGTTTTTTAAATCAACTTTAAAAATCAAATTTAAAAATCAACTTGTGACTCCCTTGAGCACATGGACTGTTTTATAAAACCTCTTAAAAAATGGAAGTTTCAACAAATCTCTTAGGAACTTAAGAAAAAGTTACTGAGACCCGTTCAGGGACTCTAGGTCAACCACAGCCTCTCTAGGGATGGACAGATCCTCCCATTTTGGCCTCTCTTGATGTTTCTCATTTTCCAGTCTTAAGGTCAGTCTTCTGCATTTCCCTATCACAATTTATTCATTTTAAATAAATAGTTGCTATGTAGGTGCACATTTCCCTAATATACCCAATCTTATGCTATTTCCTGCTTTTTTGTATGCATTTTCCCCAATATGCATTTTTTTGTAGATTGCCTCGGTTCCGCTGCTGAGTCTGTTCTCCTAACATTTTGCCAAAATCAGGAGCATTCACTGCACAGTGGAGCTGGCCTCAGCACCTGCATTGCTGCTGCTTACCTCAATCATGTGGCTGTGGGGGCATATCATCAGGAGAGCTAGATTGTTTCAGCAGCTGCCCCCATGTGGTCCTCACCTCATTGCCTCCCTGCCTCATCCCTGCAGCATCCAGGTGAGCAGCAGAGAGATGGGTGTCAGAAGAGCGGTTCCACAGATCCACCACACCACACCGGCTGCTGCTGGCCAATATCTGTTCCCTTGCAGTTTCCACCAACTGTCTCATGTGAGGAGCAGAGAAGACATCTGCACCATCTTGGACATCGATGGTTCCCTTTGCCTATATATATATCCTGCACAAATGAGAGAAGCCCCCGTCTCCCCCTCCCTCCCTCTCTCACATGCCCTCTGTGCATGCCTGAGGTTACTGTTTCTCATTTTTCTTGTCTTCCATTCAGTTCCCTACACTTCTGCAGTCATTTGATTTTTTTTTTTTTAAAAAAATATCATGAAAATTCATCATCATTTCGGTGTGAATTTCTCTGAATAAATGCATCTTTGTATGCTATTTCGAGTAATGTACACATTTTTGCAAGCCATTCTTGCTAACATAGGCATTTGCAATGTCATATTCACTAACATGGCACGCTTCCTCTTCCACCCATTTTTGTAAGCATTATTTAAATGGAGAACTGCATCATAGCGTTCAGAAAAGTGCAACTTTTGAAGGATGGTTGTGTTTTGGTTCTCATTATTCTGAAAAGTGCAAATTTGATAGATTCACTTTTAAATGTAAGCTGAATTGAGTTTCTCTGCCACCCCTTGTTGCAGTGACCACAAATGATGGGTGGCTAGTGAGCCAACCTGTTGTTGAAAGTCAGTGTAGTTTTGCATACTCACAACATAGCACCCAGGGCCAAATTAAGACCTTTAGAGGACTTAATTGTTGAAAAGATTATGGTGTCCCGCATATGTAATTCAAAATGTATGTGTAATGAAAAGAACAGAAAAATGGAGTGTCAGGAAGTCAATCAAAGTTCTGGTCCCTCATGAGGACTACTTTGATATGTGTTGGTTTTTTTAAAAAAATCAAATGTCAAATTACTTTCAACGAAATTTTCTCTCTTGACATCCCTGCTTTGTCAGATCAATTCATTGGACAGCTCATTTATTCCTGAAGCTCAGGCTTATCCTATTGTGAGTCGAGGAACCGAACCCGCGTGGTGGTAAATAAGAGACAAGGACGCAAGAATTTAGGTTAAGAATGAGGCGCTGAGGCTGCCATGGTCGCTTGAATGAGACTAAGCCCCTCCCCCAGACCAGCCCTATTGGTTGGCCAGCCAAGAGAGCGGCGTGGCAGCCGGGAGATGACGCAGGGGGCCAAACATGCCCCCCTGCTGCCGTGGGAACGGTTCCCGCTCACAATACCTCCCCTCTGTGAGGAGGAGAGGCTTTCCTGGAACCTTTAAAAAGCATCCTTTGAAAGACAAAACAACATAGGAAGAGTTCTGCAGGATCTAATCAGAGGCCTATTGGGAAGTTCCATGAGCAGGACAACGGGGGGGGCAGCAGCACTCTTCCCCCATGTTCCCCAGCAACAGGGAGACCACTAAACAGTTGCACTAGTGCAATGACTTTTAGCTGTGCATCCTCTTCTCTCCCTGCGTGCCCTCTAAATGTGCTCTGGGTTTCCCCCCAACCCTCTGGAGCAGATTTAGGCAGGCAGTAGGAAAAAAGAGAGGTCAGGGAATCTACACTGTGCAGTTACAAGTCGTCGTGCTAATGTAAATATTTAGCTGAATACTGCCCATTACAGTGGTGCCCCGCAAGACGAATGCCTCGCAAGACGGAAAACCCGCTAGACGAAAGGGTTTTCCGTTTTCAATGCGCTTCGCAGGACAAATTTCCCTATGGGCTTGCTTCGCAAGACGAAAATGTCTTACGAGTCTTGAGATTTTTTTCCGCTCCCCCCCTTTTTCTAAGCCGCTAAGCCTTTAATAGCCTTTTAGCAGCTAATCCGCTAAGCCGCTAAGCCTTTAATAGCCGCTAAACCGCTAATAGCGCTAATCTGCTAAGCCGCTAAGCCGCTAATAGGGTTGCTTCGCAAGATGAAAAAATCGCTAGACGAAGATACTCGCGGAACGGATTAATTTCGTCTTGCGAGGCACCACTGTACATATAGCCTTCATGATAAGTAACCACTAATAGTTTTATGAATATGTTGGATCCTCTTCGTAAAGCCACCCAACTTGGTGGCCATCAACATTAATTTAATTGATGTTTGATTCTAGAGTATTGTATCTTTGTAAGCCATGTAGAGACTATTGTAATTAAGCGGTTTGTAAATTGTATAAATAAATCTCATGTGGTTAGGGTTGCCATATTTCAAAAAGGGCAAATCTGGACAGGAAAGTTATTGAGTTTTTTTGTGTGTGTTTTTGCAAAATCACAAATAAATTGACTAAAACAACACTGCTGACATCAGTTGCCATATGTCCGGATTTAGCCAATTTCTGCCCAGACACTGCTTTCAGCTATAGTATTCCAGATATGTCCAAGAAATTCCAGACGTATAGCAACCCTACATGTGATACTGGATTCCAGAGTTTATGCACAGTGTCAGGGGTTCAGGAGCAGAGGCACAGGAAAGGGAGGAAATAGAGAGCGAGGGGGAGGAGTCCGAAGGAAATGTTAGCGATGACAGCGGTCCGAGGTCTCTGAGTCTTTCCAGCGAATCGGAAGATTCAAAGAATGGGGCTCCCTTGGTCAGAGCAAGGGCGGTCCCGACGGAGACACCCCAGGACCAAGGGGCCAGAGGGGACTCAGAGAGCAGCAGTTGGAAATCAGGACCAGCGTCCACACCAGAGTGCAGTAGGGGGGGAGGAGTCCCAGGCATCGGGATCAGGCGGCGCACTGCCAGTGGGAGGACATGAGTCAGGATTGGCCACGCCTCCATCGGGGAGCGAGGAAACGGTCGAGAGGAAGGTTGAAGGCTGGGCGCGCGCGCCAGTTCAAATGTACAGGAGGGCGGCGCAGTTGGCAGCCCGGATAGGGAGCCAGGTCCCAAAGCCCGCCGAAAAGAGGGGGAGGAGTCAGCGGGGTCAGCGTCAGAAGAATCCAGGAAGGAAGGGACCCCGGGGGGTAGCAGGACCCAGAGGAGAAAGGAGAGACGTAAGAGGTGGAGTAAGGCTAGAATCTTAAACTGGTGTACAGGGGCGGAGACTCAGATGGAGCTTCGCCGATCTAACCCCTAGACGTAGAGCTGGGGCGCTCCGGCTTGAAAATGGAAACTGTACTTCAATAAAGACTTTTGCACATTACTGCCGGCTAGCGTTGGTCCTCTGTGAGCTGGGACCTGGAGCCAGCTCTGACAGTAAGCTCCATCTCCTAAAGTTTTGCACCAAAAACCTCGTAACGTGAGTGGACGCAGCGAGGGAAGAAGATTGGTGCTTTGCGAGCTCACAAAAGTCAGGCAAGATGACTACAGAACAGCAACTAGCAGCCCTGCAAAATGCAGTGACACAACTCAACGCGGAGGTACTCGCATCCAGGAAAAGGGAAGAGGAAGCGGCTGCCGCCTGCAGGGATCTCCAAGCCAGGTTGGAAGTGCTTGCTAAGCAGGGGCAACCGGGACCCAAATCAGAGGGGATTGGGCTGGGGAAAAGAGGAGGCAGCCTGGTATCTCATTTCGATGGGAATTTGCAGCAGTACCCTAACTTCCGAGCAGACGTGCTGTTTGCGCTGGAACTGCTGGATAAAGACTTTAGAGATGAGCAAGAGAAGGTGGGGTTTATCTTGTCCCATTTGCATGGGGAAGCTAAAGCGTGGCTGCGCAATCTGTGGAGAGATAAGGATCCGGCGCTCCAAAATGCGGATGCATTCATTAAAGCGATGGATTCGTGTTTTTATCAAATATAGACATTGATATCGCCAGAAAAGACATACATGGGCTCAAACAAGGCAGAGCCAGTGTAAGGCAGTACCATTCCCGCTTTTTGCATTAGTCCATGCGCTGGGATGGGAGAAGGATTCTGCCCCAGTCAGAGACCTTTTTTTGGGAAGGCTTGAATGCAAATGTGAAAGATGAGATTGCAAGGGGGGAGAGACCAAAGAGCACTCAGGAGGTTGTCCGGCGGGCGCTGCAAATTGGGGTGCGTCTGGAAGAACGTCCATGGAACAGAGAAGAAGGACGTTGGGGACGTACGCCAGTGAGAGCACCTCCCCTCTTTCCCAAGGATACAGCGCGTGTGCAATCCCCACCTCCGCAAGGAGGGGAGAGCAACCGATGGAGATTGGAGGCGCCAGGGCTCAGTCAACAACCAGAGCCTTAACACCGGGA